AGAGACAAAATTGTGAAAGTGCATGATGCCAGAGCACAGAGATCAGGATTAGACTAGAAGGGAGCGATGAAGGTTGGAGAAGAGACCTATTCTCTAGAAATTACATTTTCATGCTGTCACATTATTGGGTTGTAATAGAAAAATGCAGTCTGTTGTTGCAACCACTGTTGAGTGTTTGCCCCAAATTCTGTGCAAAGTAGGTCAAGTGAGGTGTCAAATGAAAGCTTATGCTATGCTGATTCTGTGTATGCCACTCATACTTGTATGATTTTTTTATGTGAAGTTATGAATATGGACTTTGTATGTATATTTTTAAATGTTCTCTGTCTGGGAGACAGCAATAGGTGTCAACCCCACCTATTGTGCGGAATGGTTATTTGGTGAATAGCTATGCTGAATAGCGATGCTGCATGGAAAATGGCTCTCAAATGTTGCCAGTGAACTTCTCAGGAACGTGTCTGGGAACTTGCAGACCAATAGACACGCCATGGATGCTTGCCTAAAGGACATGGAGAGGTTAGCTGGTCATGTGATCCACTCCAGTTTGGGAGGTACCATCACTTCTTAGGAGAACAGCGGATTTCCCTCTGCATGGGCAAGATTATAAAAGGATCCTGAGGGGGGTCTCCATCTTCATCTTCAATCCTGCCCTTGACTTCAGAAGCATATTTGCTATGGACAAAGGGCCGGGAAGGATTTGCTGACCCATCTAACATAGGATGTACTCCAGAGATTTAAGTTTGTTGCATCTTTGCTAAGGGCCTGCATCAAGAACTTGGTGATTGGTATACGTAAGGTGCTTTCTTTAACAATCTGACTTTCAACCTTTTCTTTTGTTTTATTTATAAACCTTTATATTTTAGATTCTAAGGCACTGGCACAGAATGCTCTTGTGGGTAAGATCAGAGGTATAAATTTACCTGGGAAGTGGCTGGTCCTTTGGGACAGGGAGAAACTGTTTGGAGTTGGTGAGATTGGTTTTATAACTTCTCAATGTAAAGTGTGGTGCTGGTTGCAACACAAGGAAAGCTAGTGTGTCTAATGCAGATTGGAAGCTGAAGTGTACTTTGTAACTGGTTTGGTGCCTAGAGGGTCTTGGGCTGTAAGTAGTTCATCCTGGTTTTAAGCAGTTCATCCTGATTTGACCCTCTCAGCGGTGCCCCAGACCACCTGGTATGTAACACCTGGGTAACACGTTTATGTCAACTGCTATTCTTGACATATCCTCAAATATCAGATCCTGACTTGACTCAAGATCAGACCCAGATATCAATGACTCTGGAGAAAGGGAATTTAACTGCAAGCTCAGTAGCTGCAGAATGGCTATGGAGTGTACATTTGAAAGGATGGAAATCTGTTGGTCTCCCCATGCACTAAGGATGATAAAATGCCTTTTTTTTTAATGTTACCACTGAAATTTTCAGCAGTTACACATTGACATAAAGGGAGGGGCAGGCCGTGCTGCTGCCTCTGTATCAGAGGTAGCAATGTGGTGAACAGGCAGCTTGGCAGGAGACAGCTCCCCACACACACCAGCTCCCACCTCCCTCCCACTGCATCTGATATAGAGGCAGTGAGGGGAGGACTGAGTAACTGTGAGAGTTAATCAATAAGCGTAGGCCAGGTATCAGCAAACTTTCCGAAGTGGCATGCCAAGTTTCCACCTTCTGCTTCGAGTCATGCCACTCTCCCAAGGGAGGGAAGGAGCGAGGGAGAGGAGGGAACTCTCTCCACCACATGCCCCATGGACCACATGCTGCTAAAGGAAACTCACTGTAAATTACATAATTATGCTCAAGCCATTTTGCTAGTGCTGCATCTGGAAAGAACAGTTTAATTTAAATTATTATACAGATTAAGCGTTTTAACTTTCTCATGATAGTTCATCAAACTTCAGTTTAAATAAAGTAAAATATTATATCCAACACAAAAAAGTTTCAATGTTTTCTCTATTTATGGCAGAAGTAGCGAACCTTTTTGGGGTTGGAGGTCACCGAGCAACACACACACACACACACACACACACACACACACACACACACAAACAACAACAAAAAATCAGTTGGGGGGGGAAATCACACAAGTGAGAAGCAAAAAAAAAAAAAAAAAACGCTTCCAAGAAACCTGAACCCTCACTGATTTGGCCCCCAACTGAGACACCTCACTCTGCTGGTGTTCCAGCCCCCATAGGATAAGGGGTAGAGACAGGGAGGACTAAGGTTTAGAACTTTCCAGAAGTCAGATTTACTTTTCTGGGATTCCAGAGTTAGTGAATTTTGTAGTTCCCCTTCAACTCTGGGGTTGAAACAAAAATGAGGGGTTCAGCGTGCAGGACAGGGCTGCCAGCGAGTCTGATAGGTATGCAGGAGGAGGTGAGGAGGGCAGAGTCTGGAAGGAAGTTTGGCAGAAAGAAAGTGTAGGGCTGGGATATGAGAGGGAGTTTGAGTGGGTGGAGGTTGGGAGTAACGCAGAAAAGAAGAGGGTGAGAATGCAGCCAAAAAGTTGGGGAAGGAGGCAAAGAAGTGGGGAGTAAAGAAAAGTGCAGCTTCTGCTAAGTAAAATTGTATCCCCCACCCATCCCCCATATTCCCTCTGCTCTAGCCTTGCTCCCCTCAGCCCCATGATCGCCCACAGCCTGATCCCCTGCATCATCCCATCCCCACTCAGTGAAACCCTTGCCCCCTCCATTCCTTCCCCTGCAGCCTGATCCCCTGTATCGCCCCATGCCCCTCAGTTTGACCCCACCCTCTCTCCTCCTGCCCCCTCATCCTCCTTTACCCCTCTACTCCTGCACCCACATTCCTGTGCCCCAAGCACGCTCGTCAGGAGAGAGGTGGTGGAGGAACAGAGTCTCTTCTCTACCCTGACCAGCCCTTTGCAGTCAGGCTGCAGATCCACGGCTTGGGCAGGCAGAGCCTGAGGCTGCCCGGGGCTGGCTCCAGCCTGGATGGGGGCAGGAGAGCTGAGGAAGGGGTTCCCCGATCCCACACACAGTCATGTGCTTCTCTGTGGAGCAGGCCCAGCCCTGACCCCTCCTGAAGCAAGGAGCCTGTAGCCAGGATGGGGAGGGCTAACCCTTTAGCTCCCAGAAGCTGCATGCCCAGGCTGGGCAGAGGCAACCGCAGGGACACGCACGCTTCTCCCACCCCTCCCTTTCTAGCAGTTTGGGTTGCCAGATGGTTTCAACAAAAATACCAGACACACTTGACATTACATCACAATCTACATTTACATCTTATTTAGAAAATACTGGACATTTTTTTTTCAATTTGTTTCCTGAACAGAAACCTCAAATACTGGACTGTCCAGTTCAAAAATCAGACACCTGGCAACCCTAAGGAAGCCGGAGCTAGTACTCTAGCCTGCAACCGCGCAGCTAAGGCTGGAGCCACAGCACAAGCTCACAGCTGTGCAGGGGGAGAGGTGGGACTGAGCTTCCACCCTGTGTGCCACAGGAAATTGGCTCACGTACTGTTTGTGGAATGAGTGCTGGGGGTGGCCTAGGCTCATCTATTAACTGTATACACGTTCACATCTTTGCTATGCACCCGCCTGGATGACAATGTGGAAACACCATTCACATAATCATCAGCTGACCCCTTAAGCAGTTGTGAAGGAAAAGGCAAGTATTTCTGCCTCTTGAGTGAACAAATTCAGCTTATAAACTCTGTACTGGAAGCCAGATCCCACCTACGTATAAACTCACACACGCTTTGACTTTCCAGGCCTTTTTGAAGGGCTCTTGGTTGTGGTCTTCTCCGCACAAAGACAGTCTGGGCAGAATGCCAACAACGAAGGCTGGGGAAACAGCCTGGGCAGACAGCTACAGAGGCAGACAGCAAGGGAGCTGCTCAGAATGCCAGCAAACACAGGCTGAGGCTGAGAAAGGAAGAGAACAGCACACATGCAAAACCTCAACCAATTACTGTTCAAGTTTTTTGAATGGCTCCCAGCCTTGGGCTCATCCAGCAAGAAGCTATCCTACTGCCCCAAAGCTAATCAGAAGCAACCCAATCCAGCTCCATTCTAGTACTATGTAAACACAAGCACGAAGTGATTTCAAGAAAACTTGACACAAATCTAGCATCTTAGGGCAAAAATACATTATAGGGGCAAAATGGGCGGTCAATTGAAAAGCTTGACAAATGGTGTTAGACCTAAGTCAGACAAGTCCTAGGACTCCCTGTACTGCTGAAACGTGAATGGCTCTGCTCCCATCTCCTTGCCCTTCTCCTGACAAGAGAATGGGGATATGCATTGCCAAATTATTTTGTAATAGGACTTACTATAGAATCTTTAGACAAAATGAGCAGATGCACCTAAGTTCATGTTTCTTCCTCAACAGCCAATGAGCTCTGAAACATGACTTTGCACAGTCAAGCAATCTATACATGTAGAAAAACATTCAATGGATTTTCAACAGTCATTTAGGTAAGTGTGGATTGCTTTTAGAGAAAGACTAACTAGGCAAACCAAAGTTTTGAAAAAGTAATAAAACTCCTTTGACAAATCCAATCAAGCAGAAAAAAGTTTAAAAAGTGACCGATTTTAGTAAGGAGTAGGACTAAATGGACTTGTGGGCCCTCAAAAGCAAAACTTTGTAAAAATTGAGTGCAGGGTTGGTTTTGTTTGTTTTACTCAATGCCGCATTTATAAGTTACACTTGTGTAATACAGATTGCACTACTGTACTTGTATCCATTAAATTGAAATATACTATTTTTTTTATGGTGAAAATATTGATCACAAATATATAAAATGAGCACTGTACATTTTGAATTCTGTTTTGTAATAGAAATCAATGTATTGAAAATGTGGAAAACATCCAAAAAAGTTTCAATAAATGGTATTCTTTTATTAACAGTATGATTAATATTTTTAATAAAATTGACAGCCCTATTTTCATTAAAAATAAAGTACATTGCATAATTTGTATTATGGCACTAGTTCTGGTATGAGGAGAGGAAAGAAATAAATTGAAAATTCTTTAAAAATACTTACTGAAGTCGCCGGTTAGAAAAACTGCTTCTGCCCCTGGAGCCCACTCTTTGCAATGTAGTCCACCATCCACGTGTCGATTGACTCCAAAGATTTTGTAACTTTTTGAAAATTTATCAAGGCCTCCTTCATTTTCTTCAATGTTCTTCAATCGCTCATGAAACAGGGTATACCTTTTAAACAAACAAACATACACTAAATTCATTTTAGAAAATTTAGCAAAGATCTTATTTGTAGTAGGTACTTAGACCAAAAAAGCCTACAGTTTCTTTGTATAGGAACAACCTGTAGTTTAAGCCTACACATTGATAATGAGATTGATAGCCCAGAAGCCATAAGGTTATTAAACAATGAAGGAGAACTTTATACATACTAAGCAGCCCAGCAATTTCCCTTATGTGGCCTATAACCAGTAATATAGGAAAATATCGGATGATTTGAAAACTTCCATGGCAAATACTATAAATACAATAGGATCTAAATTATATCTTGGCATTCCAGATGCCATGGCCAAAAGCAGTGCAAGATATAGGCAAGAGCCTTGTAAATACCCAAAATATTTGATAGCTACTGGACAGAGAAATAGTACTAGGTGATTGCAAGCTGTGTGAACTTTCTTCAGTTACTCCAATCAGTCCCACTGAAGACTAGTAATACAGAAAATCATTAACACCCAAGCCTTGAAGTGATCATTTTGATCTTGATGGTAGATTCTGCCACTCTTAACCTGAGTAGTCTCACTGTTTTCAGGAGGGAAGATGTCAAGTGTAAATAAGAGCAACAGAATCATGTGCTTATAATTTGAAATTTTTCTCACATGGGATGCAAACACTTAGCTTTCACCCACAACACTCTAGTATTCCAACTGGTGGTAGTTTACTAGCAAGTAAAAAAAAAAAAGTCAGATTACCCTATTGTATGTTGAAGCTTACATCTTTAAGAGGAGATAAAAATTTCTTGCCTAGCTAGCCACAAAATTGTCTACTAATCTACCAAGCTATAAATTTACTCCGTTTCAAATGGGATCTATAAAACTAAAATGCCAGAAATATGCTGCCTCCAAAATGCACTTATTCTAGTACACTTAAAGCTACATTCCAATTCCCATCTACCCCCTAAAAAATTAAATCTCACAAACTTTTAAGGTGTTTTTTTCTTTGACAGCAAGGAAGAAATAGAGAATGACAGCACTGTGGTATAATACTCTATTTTAGTAAAGATATACACTTTAGAAGGGACATTAATTCAAAAGGGACCATCAGTTATAGTGACAACCAAGATATTACACCTTGAAGAAATGTCAACATCTGGACACCACTCTCAGATTTATTTAAAGTTTTGGTTTGGAATTGGTCTCAGTGACAGAGAATTGTGATGGAGTGGTTTGAGATATCCCATTTGTTGGTTATTTCAATTGAAGCAGGCTTATTTATATTAATATTCACAGAGTTTTATGATTTTCTTAAGACTAATCTTCACAACAGCTTCTGTTATGAAGACAGATATTCACCATGAAACTACTGACTCAAAATGGAAGCCCCAGGATATAGCAACAATATACTCATAGCACCCTAATGCCCACTCCCCAATATCACTTCTCAAAATTTGCTCCTGGTTGTTATGCCTCAAAATTGATCTTAGACATTGAAGTACATTTATAGTACTATAATCAACACACAATGTGTCTTAAAGGCCTGTGAATGTAAAGTTGTCATTTTCAAGAAAAAAATCAACACTAGTTGATTTTTAACTTTAACAATTTTATTTGCATGCATTAAAAATGTCAAACACAAGCGAGGAAAGATGTATTAAAAAAATAAGAGAAAGGTTAAACACACTAGTAAAGAGCAATTCTCAGAAACTGCTTCAAAAAGTTCAGCATCTGACATTTGGCAAGATTATTCCAAAATCAAAGGATCTCCTTGCATGTGGAAGGAGCATTACAATGGTTACAGGTATTACAGACTGCATATATAAATGTCTAGTTTACTACAGCAGTGTTTCTCAACAAGTGGTACAAGTACCCTTAAGGGTATTTGAGAGAAGTCTGGGCGGTCCATCAACACAACTGACATTTGGAGAAAACTGAATTTGTGTCTTAAGTTTTACAGCGCTTTATTATTTTTGTACTTTTTACACCCAAAAATGTCATTGCCTGCCTGGCTATGATTAAGTTGTTTAAACAAATGTGTTGCAATGGTAGAAAAAAAATGTTTGTGCGTCTGAAAACTAAGTACTTTTTTTGTTGTTTTTTGTTTTGAAAAAGGGGTACTTTTTTTTTTATAAAGTTGAGAAACACTGTACTATACAACAGCATACGAAAGGTGCCGCACTACAGTCTTATGCCAAAAAACCCATCCTATCACAGGAGAGCTGTATGTAATGTTCATTGTTTTTAATAGTGATTCTGCAGTAGTACCCAGAAGCGCTGTGATGCACTGTAATGCATTCGAACACAGCCAAATAGTCCCCTGCCGCTAGGCAGGAGTTTTATCATAGACTTTAAACAGAAGCAGGATATCATTTCAAAGGTCTATGCATGCAGAAACAAATGTTGTTTTAAAGTTATTTCTGTTCAGCAACCTTTAAGACATTGGGCACGCAGTTTAGCAGCTTTAAAAATCACATTAGCTAGTTGCATTGGCTCTTGTTGAATGGGACTAATATAAAATTGTTAGGGAGCAGGAGTTTTATCATAGACTTTAAACAGAAGCAGGATATCATTTCAAAGGTCTATGCATGCAGAAACAAATGTTGTTTTAAAGTTATTTCTGTTCAGCAACCTTTAAGACATTGGGCACGCAGTTTAGCAGCTTTAAAAATCACATTAGCTAGTTGCATTGGCTCTTGTTGAATGGGACTAATATAAAATTGTTAGGGAGACCAGAGGGGACTATGTATAGTGAGAAGGGCCTGATCAAGAGCTTTAACTGTCTGGACAGAAATGTTTTGTTTGGGGGGTTTAGTGCTATGTAAGAATTATATAGCTACACCTCAAGATAAAGGTGGAAAAAAAATAAAGTGGGACCTGTAATTAAGCAGGAAAAAAAAACTTCAATTGTGTATAATTCACACTGTGCTAATTTAATACAAGTATGGGAGTGCTGAAGACAAGGCTGAAAATTCACTCTTAATTCTGCCTTGTTGTGGACATGCTCTACAATAGGCTAAATTATGTAATCACCTACCATTCCTCACATCTGAACTAAAAATGTGTCCTCCTGCATTGCAAAATGCACATGCAGAATTTTACAACATGTTTTATGGAACAAACTTTTTATATAAAAACAAGTCATACAGAATGTAGCAATGTTTCACTACAGTATCAAAGTCTCAATACATGAAACAAGACTTACTTTCCCCATTCCTGCACATGAATACCTCTGATTAGAATAATTAGTTACTGGAATACTCAACTTTCCTCAGAAAAATACTCCTGGGGTTGTACTAATAGTTGGTATTTTCTACTGCATAATTGTGCTGCAGAAACTTAAAAGCTGACACAAACACAGAAATCTGATCCAAACACCACACTGAATTCACATTAGCTGTGTCCATCCTAATGTGCTTACTTTCTGCCAGTACTTTAGCAAGCAAATTTTAAAAGCTAAGCATGTTCACAGGAACATCCAAGTAATATATTATTTGATGTTATTCACAAAAAAAGTGAATTTTGACCTGGTAGACAAAAGTAGGCAGCCAATATAGAATTCTATGGTTATAGAATCACCTGCATGAAGGAATAGAAGCACTGCACGTTCTGTGTGCAGAACATCAATTTTCAGAAGAAAATAACTAAATCTACAGTTTAAGAAAACTTGATGTGAACTTCAGAGATTGGCATTTATCAATAATTAAAACATAAAAGAAAATTAAAAGTTGATAAGAAATCTGGCTTCTCTAGGGCAAGACCTCCACATTCATATATCTTGGTTGAAGAGCTTTTTTCTGTGTCTCTGACAGCAGGA